CCTCTTTCTCCCCATCTCCCCCCACCTTCCCCCTACCCTCATGGTATTGCTACTCGTACTATTGGTCCTGAGGGGTTTATCTGTCCTGGGTTCTATGTGTGGAGAGCTCTTATCTGTACCAGTGCACACACTCTGGTCTAGCCAGATTTGTAAGATAGAACTGGGGAGGAGGAAGCCTTAAAGAACTAGAGGATTGTTGTATACTGCACCCTGGCTGGCTCATTCCTTTGTGTGACCCTTCTGTAAGGGGATGTCCAATTGTCTACAGATGGGCTTTAGCTCTCCAGTCCCACTCCCCTTGTTCACATCAAAATGTTTGTTTTGGTCTTCTGATCAAACACTTCATGATCACACAGGCTGGTGTGCTTCTTCCATGTGGGTTTTGTTGCTTCCCTGCTAGATGGTCACTTGTTTAACTTCAAGCCTTTAAAACCCCAGATACTATACCTTGTAATAGGCACCATCAGCTTTCTTCACCACATTAGCTTATGCACCCATTTTGTCTTCAGCGATCATCACAGAATGCCAGGTTATTAGAACAAAGTGTTCTTGGGTTGAGAGTGGACTTGAGTAGATGCCCAATGTCCATCTGCTACCTTAATACTTAACCTATAAATACATGTACACAGACCTATATCCCTATTAGATATTAATACTTACATATTTACATGCCTAAGTTTATACCTCTACAAATGTCTCTGCCTCCTAGTTCTTTCCTCTATTTCCTTTTACTCTCCTCCTGTCCCACTGTCATGTTCGACCCTCATTCAGCTCGCTGTACTTCTCTTGGTTACATTGCACTTGATCAAACCCCACCAGGCATTCCATGTCCTCCTTGCTACTGATTTTAGATCTCTTGTTGTTCGCTTGTCCATGGGTTTTCTGGCTGCCCTCTTCTTTTCCCCCACCTCCTCCTCTCCCCTGCTCCCCTGGAACCATCAGTCACGTTGTTTTCTCTTCAGGATCATTTACCTTGCCTATCTTATATAGATAGACATGGAAAAAAAAACAACCTATGGATGGATAGTTCCAGGTCTGTCTGTTGACCCTTATGAATGTTTTCTGATTGGGTCTGATGCAGTAGTGCCAATCCTTGCCTCGCGAGCCCAAGTCTGCGTTCAGAATTCCTTGGGGACTTTTGTTGCTGCTTGGTTGCACTCCCTTCATGTTAGGCCCTGGTGTGTGTGTGTGTGTGTGTGTGGTATGTTGGTGGTGGTGCTGGTGGTGGTGGTAATGTCAGACCGGGCACAATTCAAGATTGCAAATCCTTATGGGAGCAGACAGCCTCACCTTTCTCCCAAGGAGCGTCTGGTGGGTTTGAACTACTCAACCTGTGGGTAAGCAATCCAACACTTAATCCACTGCACCACCAGCACAGATCACTTCGGACCAGAAGAGGTCAAGGAAGGCTTTCGGGTAGGGGTGGCACTGGAGTTGGCCTTGAAGAGCGTTCGGTTCAGTCATGCAGGATGAGGGGACCGAGTGAAGGAGCAGAGTGTGGGCTGCAGGAGAACCAGCAGCATGGGAAGGAAGGACTGAGAAGATTGGAAGGCAAGCGCTGAGGCTGAAAGCTGGGCTGGTCCCAGGGAATGGCGGTCTGATGCCAGTGTGGCAAGCAGTTTGGCACTGACCCTGAAGCCAGTGGGGAGAGCCAAGGCTCTGCATTCAAAGCAAAGACATACACTAACAGGGGCAAGGCTGCTTCAATGGGCTGTGAGGTGACAGTGGCCACACCTGTGGAGTAACGCTGGGAAGGACGGCACAGGACTGAACCCTGGGTACAGACGTGGGCAAGCACACGCGGATGCTCTCCCCGTGAGGCCCTGGGCACCACCCACAGAACTGGGACCCGACAAGGGGGAGGCAGTGTCTAGAAGGCAGGAGGGGGAGAGCCAGAGCTGGGCAAGAGAAGAGGTGGCACTTCAGGACACAGGGTGGTCTGAGAACAAACTGAGCACCGGAAACAGGGAGCAGGATCCTCTGACTAGGCTTCAGCGGCAGGCTGAGGAGTGTGTTCTTCACCTTACAGACCACCGCCTGCAAACCTGAGGCCCATGAACCTGGCCAACAGACTTACTCTATCTGGCTGACCTCAGTAGCTGACTTCCTTGCCAGCAATTAAAGGCAAGGTGGTTTGCTCATGGTTTTCACTGTGGGTCTGTGATTTTTCACAAGATCTGCCCCATGTGGCCCTCTACCACCGTACTAGCTCATCAGCAGTCCCCCCACCCCCACCCCTGAGGACTGGCTTCTCCAGCTTCACTCAATTGTGTCCGTGCTAAGCAGGCACCCCAGGAGTCCTCCTCTTTCACAGATTCTATATGAGGGGCTTCCACAGTGCACGCAAAGCATTCAGTATTTTTGCATTTTTTTCCACAAGGGTTTTGAACCCGCCGTCGTATTTGTAAGTGCACCTGCTTGCTGAAAAATACGCGGGGCGGATGTTTGCAGTGATCTGCCACTGGGCAAGAACTCACTACGGGAGCAGCAGGAAGGGGCCGGATGTGGGAGGTCCTTGCAAGTAGCTGAGGTGGTGAGCTTGGTCGAAGGGTTCCGAGTGGCATTCCCTAGAGGTGGGGGATGGATAGCACACAGAGCTCTCCGGAGCCTGGCTGAAACCAGAAGAGGCAGGTTTCTCACTGGTCCAACCCTAACTGGGTGTCATGTGCTGGGAGGCATCCCCAGAGCCCACCACCAAATGGTGCAGGGAGAAAAGCAGACGGACCCAGCTGTGGCCTTGGAGGACAAGCGACAGCCGAGGGCAGAGGAGCTCCCTGTCACTGGAGGCAAGCCAGCAGAGGCTGTCTGTGCTCAGAGACCATGGTTGTGTGAGCCCACCCATAGTGGGGCACCCCAGGGCCTCAGAAGGTTCTCAGCCCTGGATTTAAACAAGGTCTCTCCATGAACGGGCAGAGCTCTGCTGCCCAGGGCAGAAGTGAGCCACTAAGGGCAGGCGTCCTCAAACTATGGCCCACGGGCCACATGCGGCCCACTGAGGACAGTTATCCAACCCGCTGGGTGTTTTTGCCCCGTTTGTTTTTTTACTTCAAAATAAGATATGTGCAGTGTGCATAGGAATTTGTTCATAGTTTTTTTTAAAACTATAGTCCGGCCCTCCAATGGGTCTGAGGGACAGTGAACTGGCCCCCTGTTTAAAATGCTGGAGGACCCCTAAGGGCCTCTCGCTAGGGATGGGGCAGAGTTCATGGGTACCCCACAGACCCAGGCCTCTGGCCCTGGTGGGCAGACGGGCACTCACCGAGGGTCTGCTGGTTGCGGACGCCGCCGATCACCACGCAAATCTCAGCGGGCACGTCCCCGGTCCCGTCCTTGCTGAGGGCCTTCTTGTCCTCCTTGGCCTCCCCCTGCCAGATCACCTCCTGGATGTAGTCGTCGGGCAGCTCTGTCTTCACCTTCACGTCCGTCATCGTCCCCTGCTCGGCGCTCAGCGAGGCCTCGGCCGGCCCGGACTCCGGCCCCTCCACCTTGGTGGTCTTCTGGCTGCGCTTCAAGCGCTCCCTGGGAAAGAAGAGGGTCTGCTCAGTGTGGGTCCCGACCTTCCAGGCAGCCCACCAGCCCAGGGGCATAAAACATTTAGCTAGCCCTACCATTCACCTTCACCTTGGTGCCCAGGGCCTGAGAGGCATGCAGGAAAGATGCCCACCCCCACCCCCACACAGAGCCTCCCCCAAAGGGTGCCATGACTGTCTGTGGTTCCTTGACCCAGGAGAACCAGAGACATAGATAGAAGCCCCCCGGGGCTCAGATGCCTCTAGCTCCACCCATTTTACAGATGGGTAGGAGACCCAAACTCACTGCCATTGAGTCAGTCCCTACCCACAGCGGCACTGCTCCCTGGGTTGCTGAGACGGTAACTCTTTATGGGAGTAGAAAGCCCCGTCTGTCTCCCGAGGAGCAGCTGCGGTTTCAAACTGCTGACTATGCAGTTAGCAGCCCAACGCGTGACCCTCTAGGGAAGGGGAAGCCTAAAGAGTTGAGACAGGCCCCCGCTGCCACGTACTTCTGTGTCGTTACCACAACAGGAGCTACAAGAGACCTAGGAGGGCAGCTCTGGATAGATTAACTCAGTTCCCCTCAAACTTCAATGTGCACACCCATCCAGAGAGGCTCTCTGTAAAATGCAGGCCCCGGTTTTGAGGCCTGGAACGAGGGCCTGTGTTCTGCGCTTCTAATCAACTCCTGGGTGAGAGGGACACTGCTGAGCTGCAAACCACACTGGGAGCAGCCAGGGCGTGAATGAGTTGATTGATACAAAGTGGCTAGCACTTATCTTCTCCCGTTTGTCCCTTGGCAGGAGGGCCAGAGACCTCATCCAAGCCCGTTCCAGCTCCTGTTTCAGAGATGGAGAAGCTACAATCCAAGGCGGCTCACTTGAGATGTAACGGAGCCAATCTCTCTGCCACTAACAGTGTATGGAGCTCTTGAAGCCTCAGGAAGCGTGCTCGGGGTAGCCAGCTCAGCGCTAAGGTGGGCAGGTCATCTGACCCTCCTGTGTAAGGGGGAGACTGGGGCCTGGAGAAGAAATGTAACTTGCGGAGGACCACATACAAGGTCAGTACAGGTCCCCTGTCATTTACACTTGAGCCACGCTCTTCTACATCCTCTTAGGGCACCCTGGTCCTAGGCAGAGGGGACCACCATCATAACTTCCTTTTCTGTGGTGCAGAGTATAGGGGTGTCAAGTGATGCTCTGGGCCTAGGGTTAAGGGGCTCCTTGGCTAGTGTTGGCTCCTTAGCTAGTGTTGGCCCCTTGGGGCTTATCTTGAGTTCTTAGAGACGCCATCCCCAGAGCAGTAGAGCCCACCCTGATTGCACGGCCACCACAGGGCAGAAGCATCTGCAAGTTCTGCCAAGCCCCAGGAATGCACCCAGGAAAGGCAAGTCTGAGAAGTTACCAAGGGCCACATATGGCATTAGAGGATGCTCCTGCCTACCACGCAGTGACAGAAGGAATGGTTTATGAGTGGAGAGCTCCCTATCCCTGGAGGCATTCGAGCAGAAGCTGGCTGATGGCCTGGGGGCTACAAAATGTGATACGGTGAGGTGGAAAGAGCACCAGGTTTTCCACTTGGGTCAGGTTTCCAATTCAGACCATCTGGGGTCACCTCCTAGACTCCACTCTCAAGCTGGGGTCTCTGTATGAGTGACAGCATGCCTGTGCCTGCGGTCTCCACAGGCACACCCCGGATAAACTCCGATCTGCCCTGTGGAGCACAGTCAAGGAAGCAACATGCACAGAGGACCTGAAGTAGTGGCTTCCGGTGGAGATGCGGTACCAGCATCCATGTCTGCGTGTGGGGAGAGCTGGGAGTGGGTGTGCAGGGACTGGTTCCAGGGGAGGTCCGGCGGGGTGTCAATGAAGTGACTTGTGTCTCCCCCAACATATGTGCCCACTTGGCTGAGTCCTGATTCTTGAGGCAAGCAATTATGTCCTGATCCCCCATGAGGTGGTCTGATGCCCTAGGTTGTAAGATGATGAAAAGTGGGTGCAACACCCTTAGTTCTGTCACAGCTCTGGGCCAACGTGAGGAGAGCTTCCCTGGGGTGTACCAACTACCACGGAGAAAGAGTTGGGAGTGGACCGTGTCCTTTGGACCTGGAGTCCCTGTGCGGAGAAACACCGGCACCCACAGAACGATGGAGACCAAGACACACGAAGATCTCCAAGGGAGGCCAAGCCTACGGATGCTGAAAAGGGGCCCTGAAGGACCTTCCCCCCAAGCTGCCACCCTGCATTCAGATGGCTAGCCTCCTGAATTGTGAGAAAATAAACTTCTGTTTGTGAAACCACCGGTGTATGGGATTCCTGTCCCAGCCACACGAGATGACAAAGACAGATTTCAGTAAATAGATGGGGGTCAGATCAACAAGCGTTCAAATTCCAGCTCTGCGACTTCCCAGTGGTGCGGCCCTGATGGGGACAGACACCCCATGTGTGCATCGACCCAGGGCACTGGCGGGCTTCTCAAAGAGCAGACATGAGCATCACGAGGGAACAGGTCGGGAACCCTATTTTTAGGCACTGCAGTGAAGATGGTAAGAGAAACTGCTGAGATTCCGATCTGAGTAGGACCATGAGGGTTCCAAAGGGCAGCCAGTCCTGCCCATCCCGAGTCCCCCTGGGAACAGGGCTGGAATTCCATGCTCCAGTGACATCCATGACAGCCAGTGGGTTCAGGTGGGGTCTTCTGGGCAGCTAGGCAAGCAGGGTGAGAAATAGCTTGGTCCTCAATGACCCTGACTCGGATCCTGCTCAAAGGCTTAACCCTCCAAGCGCAGTACAGACCAACTTCCTAGAAATAGAGAGGAGGGCCTACTAGAGTGGAGGTGCCTGGCCCTGCTGGGGCCCCTTCCCCTTCAGGGAGAGCCTCCCTGCCAGACCACCGTCTGGCTTTCTTCACTTAAGGGGCTTCTCTGGCCTCGGGAGCAGCCACTGTCCCATCTGAGTAGGCTCAGTGTCCCTTCCTGCTCCCCAGGTTCTCATTCCCAAGATGCCACCTTGCTGGGGGAGGAGGAGCTGCGGGAGCCAGACAGGCTGGGTGTAACCCTGACCAGTCACCCACTCTGCAACCTGGGGCAAGACAAGACCCTCTCGCTGACCCTTGGTTACTTCACCTCTTCAAGGGGGAGCTGGGAAGGGTGCCCACAGGAGCCCAGCGACAGAGCTGACACAGACAGAAGGTGCCATTCCGATGACAAGAGTCCACCCCCCCCCCTACTCCCCACCAAGACTCAAACTCCCGCCTCTGGGAAGCCTTCCCCAACAGGGGAACCATGTCTGTCTGGTCTCCAGACCACACTGCTAGCAGTCTCTGCATTCTAGCGAAGGGGCCTCAGCCCACGTGTCACCCCAAAAGTTGACCTCCCAGTCTAGCTGCTAGCAAGAACTTTATTTCCTTTGCAACCCTGACAGGGGCCAGCTTCCCCTAGACCAGGCCTGCCCTATGCACAGGTGGGGCTCTGGGCAGCCCTGTGCACGGCTGTGTCCCCAGCACCCAGTACACACAGCAGGGGCGTCCTAACGATCTGCTGAGTGATGGAAAGAATGCCTGCCTCTTCCAGGCCAAGGCCCCTGGGACTCCCCAGGGCCTGCTGGGGCAGCCAGCTGGGTCCTCAACATGGGTCTGCTGAGTGCACCCCATTCACTCCAAAGAGGGAGGCCCTTTTCGAAGCTGGGACTCAAACCTGCACCTCTGGGCTCCTTGAGCTCTTGTCCTTCCCACTTAGTGCTGGCCTCAAGTCAGCTGAAAGTGACCCTTAGAATCTGAGGGTGGGAGCGTGGCTGCCTCTCCCTAGAAGGCAGACCCCCTGCCAAACAAGACAGGGGTCATGTCATGCAGGCAACTCTAGCTGTAGCTGTGGGCCCAGCCCAACTCCTGGATTAGCCCACAGAAGATGGGTCGTGTGAGCCAGCCCCCGGGAACGACAGCACAGAGTCACCCCAGCCCCTCCTAGAAGCCACTCTCAGCCCACGTCCTCCCTTGTGGCAGCAGTTCCCCCCTCCTGTGGGGTCTTGGGCTTCAGATTTACAAGCCCAGCGTTGTTTCCCTGGAAGCTCTGTGTTTAGTGAGGTGTCTTCATTCCGACGGAATCACAGCGGTGCTTCTATCACTTTGAATTAGTGGTGCAGCTACTTCTCACTTCTTTTTTATAAAATTAAAAAAATCTTTTTTTCATATATCATTTTTTAAAATAGAGCTCATTATTTTAATTATATCCATTTAAATGTACAGTGGAGCCCTTGGATATTCTCAGCACGAATCATTAGGTATATTAGTGAAAAAGCACTTGGAATCTATCTACATGCTGACACTCCATAATCTATTCTATTTGTGTCGCTGTAAAATAGATTTATATATAGATAACTACAAAATAGTTACTCAAGATATGCTATGAATTTTATATTTAACCCGAGTCACACTTCAACATGCAATCCAAAGTCGGGCTCTCAAAGGATACTGTTCAGTAAGCAACATGCTCTCTGTGGTCACAGGTGAGGGCTTGCATCCACCTGCAGGCCGGAAGGCAGGCAGCGTGGGTCCCCTGCCCAAGGATTTCTGGGAGTGCCCTGGCCTTTCATGGTGTGGCTTCCTGGAAGGCCTCGGGGGTCCCCCTGCAGGAGCACCTGGGCTGCTTGAGTGAGGTGCTTTGCTTCCTGCCTGCTGTTAGATCTCAGAAGCCCTCTGGGTGATATACACAGGATGTGCTTGGCTACTAACCAAACAATTGGTGGTTCGACTCCACTCTGAGGCACCTGGGAAGAAAGGTCATACGTCCATGAGAACACAGCCATGGAAAGCCCACAGTCCTAACCTGAAGGGCCTGGGGTCACCATGAGTCAGCATCCACTTGACAACCAGATTACATTTGAAGATATGCCTCTAAGGCCGGCAGGTTTGTAAGCCACCACCAGGTGATGCCAGATGCTGCCCTCACTCCGCTCAGATACATCCCATCATCATGTGATCTGGCGTCAATGTGC